CCATATCGCGATTTCAGAGGCTAACTTCGAAAAACGGAGAAATTGCTTTTTTAATTACACTGTACAGCACTCGGTTGGGTATTGGACCAAACCAATTTTTTTTAAGAGACTGACTCATAATTAAAACAAGCAATTTCTCCGTTTTTCGAAGTTAGCCTCTCAAATCGAGATATGGGCCCTCGAAGTTCAAAATTGGACCCTTGGTAAAAAATTATTTTCAATTATTAATTGCTTGTAAAAAGCAAAAAAAATAAAAATACAGTCGTGGTCCGCCTTTTGCTCTTATTTATATGGTATATAAATTTCTATGTGGAATCTTATATTACAAGTGCTATAACGGGTCAAAAGTCAGATCTTCGAAAAATTAAAAACTTTGAAATACCATGTTTAAATAAAACAAATAATTATTAGTGTTTCAAGCATTAATTCGTTCTTGTTCACCCACAGCCCTGTTAAAAATAAAGCAAAAGTATATGTAACAGAAGTCTAAGGCATATAAAAATATAAAAACACCATGGTTTTTGATTTTTCACATAACAGGTTATATATGAAAATTAGAGGTAGTTTTCTGTTTTATTTAATTAAAGTATTCAATTGTATTACGTATTAGTAATTTTTTGTTTAAAATATTTTTTATAAGAAAAAATTGGTATTTTTTACTTTTAAGTATTTTTCTCAAATTTTATATAGGAAGTATACAAATATGCATATCAGAAGAAAGGGGGTTTAATCGCCTTTATAACGGTATCAAATTTTAAAAAATTTGCTAGTATCTTTTTTGTTTAAAATATTTTTTTTTTATAAAAAAAAAGGTATTTTTTTCATTTAAATGTGTTTTTTCTAAAAATTTTATATACAAAGTGTACAAATATGCATATCGGAAGAAAGGGGGTTCAGTCGCCTTTACAATGGTATAAACATCAGTTCAAAACTGTTTGCACTATAAGGAACTTAATTTTTCGAAGACCTGAACTTTGACCCCTTATAGCACCTGTAATATAAGTTTGCACAAAAAAAGTTATATAACATTTAAATGAGAGCAAATAGGGGACTACGTCTATATTTTTAGGTTTTTAGTTATTTACATGTAATAATTAAATATAATTTTTTACCAAAGGTCCTATTTCGAACTTCGAAGGCCCATATCTCGATTTCGGAGGCCAACTTCGAAAAAACGGAGAAATTACCGTTTTACCTATGACTCCATCTCTTAAAAAAAAATTGGTTTGGTCCAATACCCAGAAAAAAAGTTGATTTTGCCGTACAGTGTTATCATTGAGATAAATATTTTTAAATCTTAAAGGCTTTTATTATAAGACTTATATTATAAAAGTCTTTTCATAACAATTATGAGCGCGAAAACATTTTTTAAGTCTTAAAAGACGGAACTTGTTCAGGAGGATTTCAGAATTAGTTGGAGCCCAGTTCGGGACTAGTTGGGGTCCAGTTTGGGCTTGATTTGGGACCCGTTCGGGACTATATACAAAATTTTTTCGCACTAATAATTATTATCAAAAGGCTTTTATAATATAAATCTCATAATAAAAGTCTTTGAAGACTTAAAAATATTTACCTATCTCAATGATAATTATTATGACAAAACATTTATAAAATAAATCTCAAAATAAAAGTCTTTGAAGGCTTAAAAATATTTATCGCGCTGATAATTATTACGAAAATATAAGTCTTAAAATAATAGTTATCGATGACTTAAAAAAATTTTTTCACACATTATTATTATCAAAAGACTTTTATAATTCTTACTAAAATTTTGATGACTTTTTTAAAAGTCCACCATGAAATAATAATTATTCTGGGTCTCTGCTTCCTAACCGTAAAATTAATAGCGAACATTTTAAAACAGGAATGATAGAAATCGGGTAAGATTTAAACGGAAGGCACATTGTGCGCCGGTGGATAATCTGTTGAAATAAGACAGACACCCCTCTGCTATAATTCCAATTTTCTTAGTTACGAACTGCTAGCTCCGCTCCACAAAATTTAAAAGTTGTAAGCTGTAATCCAGTGTTGCCGTTGAGAATTTTCAGAAAGTCGCAAAAAATGGGTCATTGACGTAAAAAAGGGTCACCATATTATTTTTGCTTTTCTTGACTAGTAAAAGAATTAATCTGTTGATTTTAAAAAGAAAATAGTTGCACACGCCTTGCACAAAACAGGGTTGCAAACATACACATAAATCTAGTTGCTGCAAGGAGAGAGTTGCATCTCCCTTAAAAGTTTTAAGTGATGCATTTTTTCGTACTTACAGGAGGGAATATTTTTTAGTAGCATGATTCTAGCATGTTGATGATTTTAAAAAGAAAATAGCGGCACACGCTTTGCACAAAACAGGGTTGCAAACATACAAATAAATCTAGTTGCTGCAAGGAGAGAGTTGCATCTCCCTCAAAAGTTTTAAGTGATGCATTTTTTCGTACTTACAGGAGGAAATATTTTTAGTAGCATGATTCTGTTAACATTTCCTAAAAAAATCTCTGAAAAGGGGCAAAAGTCGCACATAATTTTGGAAAATTGTAAAAAAATCAAAACTTTCAAAAAGTCGGGTCAAAGGTTATTGCCGCCTAAAAAGGGTCAAATTGCCCCTTTAGTCGCACAACGGCAACACTGCTGTAATCCATTCGTAACATCCACCATCTTGCAAACCAAAAATTGGAAATTCGAAGTTTTTAATCGGCTCTTTTGACAGAAACAAACATACAAATATTAATGCAAGTGACCAGCGAAATTTAAAATCAGCGTTTATGAGCCATTTATAAAGAATGGTTTTAAATTAATTAGGGAATATGCAAAGTAGATTGTTAGAGATGTTACGGTACTACTCCATTTTCTCTGTATGTTAAAATGTGAGTTGTGTAATTTATTTAACTGATACATATATTAATGTACTTGAACAAAGGTTTAAACGTTTAAAGATGTGTTCCTTCAAAAGCTGAAGAAAGTTATTAACATGGTATTGCCGTTGGCGCTTTTTTCAATACTTAAATTATATTATTTTAGTTAGGAAAATCAAATTGCGTTATATTTCAGGTGTCAGGCGGTCGCAGAGAAAATTTCTTTAGTTTCTTTAGTACGCGATGTCTTAAAAGAAACTTATTTTTTGGTAGTTTTTTTTCTTTTGAAATAAATTGTAGAAATATTTAAGCAAGCTAAGGAAGAACAATTTTACATTTACTGATTGCTTAAATGTAAGCAAAACGGCAACGCTGATCGCAATGGGCTAGCTCTACGCCTAAGTGTAGGGGGATACACTCTATCTATCTATCTATCTACCCCCACTTAACTTAATAGGCAGGCCTGACGAGATGGCGAGGTAGGGTGTCGGGGGAGTCTTCCCCCGGGGGCCCAAGATATTTCCAAAAATGAGGTTGGATGACAAAAAGATTTTGCTAAGTTAATAAATTTGATAAACAAGCTTAAAAAATAATCATTTTTGAGAGGGAGGAACGCCTGATACATATTTAGTACCGGACCCAGATTTTATCTTGGCCACCCTGCTAACAGGTAATTGACGGTGAGTTTGTCTCTAAAGTCGACGCTCGACAACTATGATAACAAAGTTAAATAATGCCACAATAGATATGTACTTAGTTTACGCAGAGGTAAGCCAAGTTTCTCAACATTGCTTTTACCGTTTGTACGACATTCGGGTCTACGTAACTGGAGAATCCAAAATTTATATTTCACCATGCCACTTTTAATGCTGTAACAACAACACTGGCAACAACAACAATAACATTTCTTCAAGTATATGAATCTCTGGAGCAGTCCTACATTTGCTCTGGTAAAACTCATGGAGAATGGTGCTCCACAACGAAAGTTGTGCTCGTTTTCCAAACGATTTACAACAACTGGTATAACATTTGGCCAGGCCTTACGACAGCTAAAATGGGGTGAAAAAATAAATTTTTCAATGAGGACAGAATGGAATAATTTCGAAGTTCAGTCGAACGGTTCGAATTTCATGAGCTCAACTGGACATACAGTTTGGATAACTTAAGAACTGTGCACAAAATGTTTGGTAACTTAAAGTATGTAAAAACATTTTTGCGACTTTAAAAAAATTGCACACAAACTTTTTGTTATTATTTGGCACTGTAACCGCCTAAGGGATTTTTGGCCGATTTCAACAAAGCACGCCAGTCGTTTCTCTTCTGTGCCAACTGAAGCCAATTGAAAATGCAAAGTCCTTCTCCACTTGCTCTCTCCAAGGCAGTGGGGGAGTCCCTCTTCTGCTACCACCAGCGGATTCCGATGACGTGGCCAAGCGTATTTAATTGTCTTGTTAAACACTAGTCCAATTTTGGACATAAATACGTACATATGTTTTTTATAATTTAAAAACTGCACATAACTTTTTGGTAGATGATAAATTGGACGTACATTTTTGGTAACTTAAAAACCGGGCACACATACATTTTTGTCATATGAAAACTGTACTTAGACTTTTGGAAAATTAAAAATTATATACACTAGGATCCAATTCAAAACTTAAAACCAATTTAGAAATTAAAAAAAAGGAGATAAATTATTGGAAATTTAAAAACGTTATTAATTTGGGTCTATATAAATCTGATAGATTTTCATTTTTCTCTCAAGCTTCCATTTAATAAATGATTTTTTATCTTCAAAGCTTGCATATCTATATCTTCAAAATTTTAAAAATCCTTCGAATTTGTTTTTAAATTTTACATATAGTAAATGAACTCCGCTGGTGCAGTATTGCACATTTCGAAAATTTCCTACTGATTTGCGTTTTGTACCCTATATTATGCTATAAATTTCCTTAAAAAACATTTCTGATTTCTAGTCTCATTAATCGAGGGGTGAGAGCTATGTACCGTTATTCAGCTTCATTAATTTTAACTGATTTTTTCTTCTTTTTTTTCTGAAGACATTCCCAAATATGTGTTAGTATACGATTAGTTTATATAGTCTACATACACATGTAATTACATATAGATTGACAAATATATACAAACATGAGATGGTGTTATGTTGTAATCAGTGGTATAGCCGTCATTGTATGATACTGCATCGGGAACGGTACTGCCAGCGAACTGATATTGCGGTGCCGGTTTTGGGGACAATGTTGGTGTCGGTGTGTGATGTGGTGTTAGCTTCACATCCTCGACAAAAGCCGAGCTGGCCGAACCGGTTTCGAGTGCTGCCTCCCAGGGTGTCTTGATCACTTTCAAGCCAGGCTTGACGTATTTTTCTAGCACCTGCTCCTGGTGCAAATTCAATTGAACACGATGCTTTCCGGCATCGGAGTAAGCAGGCAAAATGCTCGGCGATGTAGGCGGTTTCACTTGCTGGTGTTGATGATAATCTGGAAGACCGGATGGGCTTTGAGTGCCTGTGTTAGTTTCATCAACCACCCATTTCTCAGATTTCCTGCGGCGTTTGGCAAAAAGCTCAGCACCTTTCGCAGTTTGGATAAAAGTTTGGTTGGTTGCGTTGCATTTTTGTGCCGCACGGATTTCACACGAGGTTCAGGGCAGCGCAGCGCACATTGCAGCGGTATGCATATAAGCGGGCGCATGAAGCATGAAGCGGCGGCGTTAGGAAGCGTTGACGGATGATTATATTAACGCGATGGTTATTTTTGTATAGAAATTGAAAATGACCTCGATTAATGATTGAAAAAGTAAATAGAATAATTGCATATAAAATAATTTCCGTGCTGCTAAGCCAAATTCATATAAAAAAGAAAAATGTTTTCAAATAAAAATTTCAACGGAAATATAATTTTCTAAACCATTTGGCATCTTTCATTTTTACTGTTCTTTTTATAAGAAGTAGGCTGGCGACATGTGTATTTAATGTATACACACACAAATGTTCAAAAAAACTAGGAAATAAATTTAAATATATCTATTTGTATGTGGATCCGATTAAAGGTTCCTAAACACACATATTTGAATGTTAGAAAGTAAAGTGTTGGCCTTTTTGACAATTAAATTTTTCAAAAACTCGACATAATTTTTTGCACCTTAATAATTGGATATTAAATTTTGGTTATTTAAAAACCATACCAATATTTTTCGTAATCTTAAAATTAGATATATCTACATTTTTTGTCATTTAAAAACTGGATATAAATTAATGAACTTCAAACTAGAGTTGTCGAACTATCGATAGTATCAATAGTTTTTTATTTCTATTACCATCGATATTTTTTTATCCACTATCGATAGTTTTTCCCTGCACGGTCAACAATTTGGGTTTAATTTTCAAACCGCGCTGTGACTACTGCCTTTTTTAAACTTTTATAGTCTACTTTTTAAACCAGTCAATAGTTTTACGCAATTTTTAATATATTCTGGTTTAAATTTTAGCCCAAAAAGTTCGTGGTTTAAAAATCAAACCAATATGTTTTAATTCTAGTTTCTAGGTTTCAAATATAGAAACTTTGGTTTAAAATCTAAACCGAAATAGAATATGTTTGCACAGCGGATTGTGGTGTTGATTCAAACTCAACATATGAAAGCACATTTACATGCGTGGCTGTAGCTGAGTGTGCAAAGATGCTTGATACAATTGGTTGCTACCAAGGCTG